AAGCGAATGATTATTTCGCAGAAGAATCTCCGGAGCAGCAAAACCCATCGTAAACGGCAAAGCAATAATCGATTGAACGAGGGCTTCTAAAAGAAAAGTAGAAAATAAACATTTATTCCAATAATCCGAATTTTTCGACTCTTCGACAGAAAGATTATATCGCGCGTCATCTTTACCGCGGGAAAGAGCGCGAGATGTTATGCGGTAGAAGAGACGGAGTGACCAGGTTGTTAAGCCTGCCATGATTAATTTTTGGGAATATGTCATGTTTGTGCATGTTTGTGAGATGTCGAAGTCAGAGCGTTGGAGAGCGACTGTCCAGGAGGAGATGAGGGGACTGAGTGGCCAGATGATGTCTTTCAGGTCGAGACGATTGGTTAATCGAGCGATGGTGTAGGAGATGAGTGAGAGAGTTGTATTGGTAGTTAGTGTTGGGAGAAAACTACGTTGAAGTAATCCAACTGCTGTGGCGTTAACTTGGGGATTCCATGGTGGAATGATAGATGCGTTAGATGCGAAGCGATCTTGTTCATAGACGGTTGTATTAGATGTATCATCCGTTGCTGCCTTTCCTATAATTATGGATTAATCTCAATATTCTTTGTTGAAATGCGCAATGAAGCTGAGAGAAAGCTTAACCTACCTAGACTTACGAAAGTCCATCTAGATACCCTTTCCGTTACTTTCTCAGTAGGAATAGGATGACCTCCAAAATGGGAGGCTAAAGTATCTTGTTCGGCCATATTTAGGGTACACCATTATATTACGGTGATGATTGTGATGAAAATTATGGAGTTGGAATACTTTACGATGTCAAAGAGCTTCTGTTTTGTACTTTTAATGGATGTTGTTTCGATGACGTTATTTCTCCGCCTTCATCTACTTCTCGGAGTTTCATTCCGTCAACGATAGCTGCAGCTTACTACATGCGGATCGTTACATGAATATGATTTTTATATGAAATTTTACATCATCCTTGACGAATGGCTTTACATAGTTTTGATGATTTCTCGTATTAGTTTTTCAAACGACAATATGAGATAGAATTGGTCGTGACATTATATGTAACTTTACGGCAACCGAAAAGCCCAAAATGGTAGAAGACAGCTTAGTCAGCCCCGCCAAATCACCCCACACTGTTATTTACTAGACCTAGGTAGATGCTAGGTGGTGCTTGCAGGACCATTTCTGAATACCTTGTATCCAATTCAACGCTCAATATGAAATTCAATAGCAATCTACTTGAATGCCTTTGAAACAGAGAGTGTAAAATCCGCATATGCAAAATATTTTCTCAAGGATATTATCCCTGGATGCTCCCCATTGCGATCATAGTAGAAAAAAGATCCAGTAGATGCATTTTAGTGTATCCTGAAATCTAATCTTTAATCTAAATAACCATCTACTCAGCATCAATCACCTTATCTTTAACCCTCCCAACATCCTTCTCATCTCTACTCTCATCTCCCATCTCATCCTTCTTCCCAATATCCCCTAACTCAACCTCCATATCCGCATCACCATTTCCAATCCCTCTTCTTCCAACTCTCCCCTTCTCGACCCATCTCCTCCAAGGTCCATAAATTAGCACACTTGCACCTCCAAATACCACAAAAGCACCGCAGATTCCTCCACCAATAACATCAAAATGATCACCTGTCGCATTAACTCCATCCCAGAAGGGCCCTGTAGAGAAATTTGCAATGAGAGAAAGTAATTGAATGACTCCGATACAAATAGCTACTAGAACTGTTATGCCTGTTAAGACAATTGAGTAGTAGAGAATTGCGATCGTATCGCGAGCGAGAGATGTGGATGTGTAAAGCGTCATCATTAATGCGCCGTCGGTGGTGTCAATTAGACACATGCCAGCTATTATTTCTGTTAGTATTTTACTCAGGTATCCCTTATATCACTATACAGACAATGAGAAGAAGAGTAAACATACCGGTAAATAAAACCGGGAAAATTAATATCAGCCAAATATTAGTTCCTTTAGCACCCTGAACAGAAGCGATTCCAAGAACCGCAATTTCACTACTAGTATCAAAACCAAGTCCAAATAATACACCCAGTGGATACATTTTCCATGGACGATCAATCACTTTAAAGACCTTTCTGAGAACTCTCATCATGATTCCTCCACCTTCGAAACCTAATCCAGTCTCACCACCATCTCCATCGATTTCTTCTCTTAGAACTGCTCTCAACTTAACCACCAATCTCCATAAAATCCATGCATTTCCAATTCCAAGTAAAATCAATACACCAGCTGAAACACCTGTACCAATGATACCTCCTACATTTCGGAAGGAATTGAACCGTGATTCAAGAGCACCAGATGTAGCAGCAACGACAATGCAAGTTATGATTACAATTGTTGAATGACCTAAAGAGAACCAGGTACCAACAGTTACTGGTTGAGATGTATGAGGAGAACCAGAAGCGATTAGACGTCGGGTCATGAGATCAATAGCGGATATATGATCGGCATCACTGGATTAGATGAGTTGGGATTCTTAAGGGGGAAGATCACATGATCATGAGAGATTGAAATTTAAAAAAATGAAAACTTACAGAGCATGTCTAAGACCAAATGTGTAGGAAAGTACAGCAGATGAAGATAGAAGAGGATGAGAACGCAGAACAATAGAAACCACGACCCAAATAATGATATTAACCAGGACCAAAAGAGATATGATCCTAATGGCGGGGTAAGGAAGGAAGCGAACTTGAGGGGGTAGACGAGCAATTAAGGGATGAAGACATGTTGGTGGCCTAGGAGACATTTCAAAGAAACATGAAATGTGACAGATAGAGATTGGACATCAATTGAAACAATTGAAGTTGTACAAAGAAGAAATAAAAATTTGAAAAACGAAAAAATTGATGAAGTTGAATACCCCACCATCCCACCATCGCGATGAAATTTGGTCAATCAAGGTCAACGTATCAATCCTAATCGGGGACTGCCGACTGGACATTGATAAGATAATGAAACTTCATTACCTATTTTGATCGAGTATGCCTTTGTATTAAAACTTGGCGTGAGTAGTATGCAAACGACAGATATATCTGTAGTTCCTGTCGACCGGCCTTGAAGACAGAAATATGTTCTCTGTTACACAACATAGTTAGTCCATACTTGATAGGTGCGCGGAAATGCATCCCTATCGATTTGATTGAATTAAGCCACCAAGCAACATAAAGGAAAGCCTTAATCCCAACATGTTAAACTCAGCAGACGGAAATTGGCAAATGTGAGAGTGAGAAAGACGACGGCGGGGAGAATATTGATGAGATGCAGGTTGCTGAGTAAGTGAACAATCGAGACGACAGAGTTGCAACGTGACCTACTCTCGTGCTTCCAAGTTACTTTAATAAAGCGGTAACAACCTTGAGAGGTACAACATATGTAGGTTCTAGAGGGTAAAATAAGCAAATACAATGAACCTTACATGGGTCACTCATTTACTCATTTTCTTCTCATCTCAAACTTTCCAACCTCAACATCCCTCCCATCCAAGATCCAAAAATATGATATCACAAGGTGAGATTATTCCAGCTCTATAAATCATTGATCATGACAATGAATTATTAATATAATAACCATTCGAGTAATTCTTCTCCAAAATAAAAACAAGCTTCCAGACATCTATCGAATTCTATCCACCCGGTTGGATACTTGGAAGTGAAGTATGGAATTTGTTAACATCATCGATGGCAAGATCTCACATAGGTAGGTTTCTCTTTCCGGACCGAATGGATTCCTGTTATGAATCCCGAGAATAAGTGAGTGAGTGGGTGAGTGAGTGGATACCTTTAATCATTAAGAAGTTGACTAGCTAGCTTGACCCACTACGTTTTAATGCACTTGGTTCATTAACCCATTCTTATTTGCATCGAAAACTTTAGTGCGGGGCATGGGAATTGATAATTTGTATGATGTCACTTTTGTTTTCTTAACGCCAGGAAGAAAATTAAATAATGAGGAATGAAGTGGTAAAATATGAGGATATTCTCATCAACGGTATCTAGCCATAAACATAAAATATAGAGAATGACTAATCATCACATACTCAATAAAAATACAATAAAAGAATTCAGACCATTCATTCCTCCAAACACTTCATCCCATCTCGATGCATCTCGATTCCATAGTAAACAAATCGATTGATTTATCAACCCAAACCACCAAGCGGGGTCAAAAAGAACGTCATTCCTTCATTCGTCCCTCAAGGTTCGCCCCGCAATTTAGATCCCTCTAGCTCCCATCCCAGTAACGAAAGCGGCTATGTCGTGCCTTCTTCTTCTGTAATTGTAAGACCCTGAGAATAAATATCAAGTCATCTTCCCTTTTTCTTCCTTTCCTTTCTTCTTTTCTTTTCATTCTATAAACAATTCAATCCTCTCACAAACTTTTTCACTACTTCTAATAAATCAACTTCAAACATAAACCACTTATTAAAATTCAATCAATACCCCCTTCTTCATACACACCACACAAACCCATTCATCATGCCTATCTCCATCCCAAGAGCCGAGTCCCTCAAAGACCTCTTCTCGTTAAAGGGAAAGGTAGTCATCATCACAGGTGCTTCCGGTCCCAAAGGAATGGGTATTGAAGCCGCACGAGGATGTGCTGAGATGGGTGCCGATGTAGCCATCACATATGCATCCCGTCCCGAAGGAGGCGAGAAGAACGCCAAGGAATTGGCTGAGGCATATGGTGTAAAGGCCAAGGCATACAAGTTGGACATTGGTGACTATGCCAGTGTTGAGAAGTTGGTTGCCGATGTCGTCAAGGAGTTTGGAAAGGTCGATGCTTTTATTGCAAATGCTGGTAGAACAGCTGATAGTGGTATTCTTGATGGAACGGTTGAGGCTTGTAAGTTTTTCGGGTTGAATTTTATTAAATTGTTGCTAATTTTATTCTAGGGAATGAGGTCATTCAAACTGATCTTAATGGAACTTTCCACTGCGCAAAGGCTGTTGGACATCACTTCAAGGAGCGTGGAACTGGTTCTTTCGTCATCACTGCCTCGATGTCTGGTCACATTGCCAATTTCCCACAAGAACAAACCTCATACAATGTTGCCAAGGCAGGATGTATTCACATGGCTCGTTCTCTCGCCAACGAATGGCGCGATTTCGCTCGAGTCAACTCCATCTCTCCTGGTTACATTGACACCGGTCTCTCTGACTTCGTCGACCAAAAGACTCAAGCTTTGTGGAAATCTATGATCCCAATGGGTCGTGATGGTGAAGCTAAGGAGTTGAAGGGTGCTTATGTCTACTTGGTATCTGATGCTTCAACATATACCACTGGAGCTGATATCGTCATTGATGGTGGTTACTGCTGCAGATAATTGTATTATATTTATTTTCATGACATGATTGGGATGAAGGAATGGGAATGGAGTTTGCCATAAATCATGGCTGATATTTTAGCGTTAATCAAATAAAATGAAAAGTAATTTTTCTTGACAATTTTCTTAATTCATATATGAGTGAGTGGATGTTTAAATGATTTACTCCGAGGATAAGTATCAGGTTGCATGAATTAGACGCTACCAATACTCTATAATTATCCTCCCTTTTCTTCACGTTACACTAAAACAAAATTTCTAATATAGGTTTAACTTCTGGCTATCTTTCTATTATATAAAAAGATGTATTTTATAACGAAGATTTACTCTCTGCAATCTATCTAATATTTACCATCTGCTATCTACAATACAAGATGAAAAACGAAAAGAAAAGAAATGAAAAGGAACGCCTAATACGCCATACCATTTTATTGGTATCCATCTACCTATCATTTTAACCCTTTCCTTTCAACTATCCATTCAACTTTAATCATCTATCTATCTATCTATTGATTTCGTGTATTCTGTCGTGAGGTGAGAGAGATATCGTGGCGTGAGTAAAAACAAAACAAAAAAACATAATGTGAAGTAGGTAGGTAGGTAGGTATGTGAAGTTTGTGAAATGTAGAGATGACTGAAATTACCACGCTGACCGGTTGATGTTGAAGCCACCTCTTCCACCTCGTGCACCACCTCTTCCTCCACTTCCTGCATTTCTACCTTCACCACCACCTCGAGCACCGCCTCGAGCACCACCTCTTTCTCCACCTCCTGCACTTCTTCCCTCACCACCACCTCTTCCTCCGATTCCTACACTTCTTTCCTCATGACCACCTCGGGCACCACCTCTTCCTCCACTTCCTATGCTTCTTCCCTCACCACCACCTCTTCCTCCACTTCCTATGCTTCTTCCCCCACCACCACCTCTTCCTCCACTTCCTACACTTCTTCCCTCACCACCACCACCACCACCACCTCCACCTCCGCGTGGTACTCTAGGTGGATCAGGAATAACTATCAGACCTTCTGTTCCCTTAAGACCCATCTTTCCAACAATACCCCTATAAAGTGATGGAGTTTCTGGCGCACCCAATCCATCCCTCGCAAAAATATTTCCTTGTCTCACCAATTCCACGTTATCCCACTGCATAAGCTTGAGGTGATTTTTATAGTATCCTAACCAGGCTTGATATGTTTTCGAGTGATTTTCCATCCTCGATGCTATTTTCAAGACTTGAGGTGCGGAGCTTAGATCTGCTTCTGTTTTTACGAACTCGATTTCTTTTAATGTCCATGTGGAAAATGGACTTTCGACCTCGGTGAGAATGAAAACACCACGTCCTTCTTTGCCTGCTCGAGCTGTACGTCCTAGGCGATGAATGTATGATTCTTTATCGGCGGGAAGTCCAACTTGGAAGACGTTAGTGACGGATGGAAAATCCATTCCACGAGCAATCACATCTGTAGCTACAAGAATACCATTCTTGGCTACGCGATATTCTTCTGTAACTACTGTTCTCTTGCCTTGAGATACACGAGAGTGTAGTGCGGTGACGGGTGGGAGGTCTTTGAATTGGGATAGAATTTGGGCGTAAAAGTCTACAAGTGCGGCGGTGGGTGCAAAGACAATAGCTTTGAAGCTGTCCTTGCCTTCCAATTTCATTTCCGCGCGAATGGAACCTACCATTGCTGATGCCACATCGGAGAAATTTGGAACGGTGATGAGATGTTGAGGAACACGTGCATGGGTATTGACCTCGCCTTCGGGAATGGTAGAAATGAACTTATAATCTTTTGAGAGAACCAAGTGAGCGACCTTTTCAACATGAGGAGCAATAGTGGCGGAGAAAAGCATTCCCTGTCTCTTGGTTTTCTGCTTGTCCGGAAGACATTTGATGATATCTCTAATAGCATTCATAAATCCCATATCAAGTAATCTATCTGCCTCGTCAAGAACAATAGTATCAAGATTGCGGAAAGCATTGGTGATTCCTTCATCACTAAGATGATCAAATAATCGACCTGGAGTGGCAATAAGAATATTACAACCATTCAAGATATTCTTCTCCTCCGTAGTTTTATTGGTGCCACCGATGGCGAATCCGACCTTATAGTTAGGGAGATTTTTCAATAATTGACTTGCTTCCTTTGCAATTTGTTGTGCAAGTTCTCGCGTTGGTGTCATGACTAATAAGGAAATTCCATCTTGAGGACGTCTCTGTTTGTTAATAAGAGTTTGAATTGCTGGAATAAGAAATGCAATAGTTTTTCCAGTTCCAGTCTTTGCCTGTGCTAAACAATCGACGCGTTCTGAGAGTAAAGGACGAAGAGTTGCAGCTTGAACTGGCATCATATGATCGAATTTTAAGTCTTCGGTAATAGTCTTGAGAAGGATTGGATTAAGGAGATTTTCAGCACCAAGATCTGCGAATCGTGGAGTATCGAGAGGGACTGCTGTACTGAGCGGAGGAGCGGAGACTGCAGACATCTCCTCTGCAAAAGAAGCAGATGTAGAGAATGAGGCATTCTGAATTGGTGAGGTGTTTTGGACCTTTCTGCCGCCTCTTGCGTTTCCTATGCTACTTGCTAATTGAGAAGAATGGCGACCTCTGCGAGGTTGCTTTCTAGCGCGTGGATTTGGTGGTGATGACATAGCGATTGAAAGTGGTCGTAGAAGACGAAGACGATTAAGGTTGATAGTTTTGTAAAGAGAAAGCATCGAGATCGAATGTTTGAACTTTTTAGTTGTCGTAAATGTCAAAATTTCTTTGTTTAAAAATTTCCTACTTAGGGAATAAGCCTCAGATCAGCCTTCTTTCAGCCTTGTTCATCAATTTGAAATCAACCAATCAATCTCAATTATCACAAAGAGGTCTATTCTCTGGCCAGGAATATAAACTTTTCTTGTTGAATCTAAAAGAAAAATTATTCTATACTTGGGTAAACATCAAAGAATTCACCTACCAATACTTCATACCATTAATAGATGCTCTGACACTCGCAGATTATTGGCAAGGAGTTTTCAACCCGATCTACCAAAAACGCCTGGTATCTACCACCTTCCTCCATGCTCTCCCACATACTCCATGGAAATTAATTGCAAGAAAGCCAGCCCAGTATTCATTCCCCTTTGAACTCCAAATATCCTGTGTAGACCTTAATCATGCCTTGTGTTTCTCTTGCTCATGCTTTTTCTCCAATTGTTTCTCGATCAATTCCGCAACCTTCTTCGAATCAGCCTCCATTTCTCCATCACCTTCTCCTTCACCAATTTCTCTCAATGCCCCAAAAATCCATAGTTCCTTCAATTCTCGAGTCAATTTCAATAGGTCCTCTGCTGCACTTGTCTATTCATGTGTTTATTAGCAATGTTCCCTGAACTAAAAATCGAATTCTATCGAGACTGGGTAGAACAAAATGAAAATAACTATACTAAAGCATTGCTCTCAACCTCCATTCTTAATCCCTCCGCAGCAGCAGTCTCCTTTGCAAAAGCATCTTCAGTAGGTAACGCAGCGAGTACAACCAGGTTCTTGAAACGGGTGAGTAAAGCAGCTATCGCACGTTCTTGACGGTCTAGGAGTATGTTAGCTTTGAACTTGCGTACTCTGACTGTGGCACCAGGTGGTTCGATTAATATGACCTGTTTGAGCGAGCCGAAGCTTAGTATAACTTGATCACCAGGTTCAAGTTGGAGAGTACCATCCGTAGAAATGGATGCCACAGATTTATTGGAGGACAATCTGGAAACAGAGGGACGCAAAAGACGAGGGCGCGAGGCAGCCGTTGTGACTTCTTCCGGGGGGCTGGAGCTTGGTGCGTTTTCATCAACAGATTCATTGGAGGCTAACGTGGAACTTGGTAACATCTCATCATCGTATGCGAAGGGCTGTGAAAAGTCACGGGAAGGCTCGCCGCCATCCTGAGGTACACTGCGGCTGGACAGCGGAGCACCAAAAAAGTCGTCCATGGTATTAGATACAGCTGATTCGTTGGAAGGCCTTTTGAGCCTAGACTCATCACCCGGAAGACCGTAGGAATTGGGATCAGACATGTTGAAGTTGAATCGTTTTTATTGTATAAGATAACTCGCATTCGTAGTTGTCGTCACGATGGTGATGGTGATGGTGATGGTGATGTTGCTTTTGTTGAATTGAATTCATAGGAGTTGTAAAGAAATAATTTAAACTTACCAATTAAAGCAGTTGTCGTATGCTGCGTACCTTCCATGGTGAATGAAATATTTCAATAAAGTTTGCAATAATGCGATGCAATACGATGCAGGAAGGAGTGAATGTGAAGTTCAAGAAAGGAAAGCTCGAATTGATCGACCAATGCAAGATGCCCCTCTTTTAGCGTGACCCCACTTAAAGTTCACCGTTCTACTGCCCCCCTCGACTCAAACCCCCTTGCCAATCTATTTGATTCGCGCCCCGCAATCCATTCATCATTGTTGTTCTTGTTGTCGTGTCCAAATTTCTGAGATTTTTTGGATTCCTTTAAAGACATTGAATTAAATACATTCATTCTTCTTTACATTTTTACAGTGCAACAAGCAAGTCCTTCAAGATGCAGTCTGGAATAACAGGTATGTATACCAGCAATGTCTACTCAGCTGAGGAACTAACAACCTTCACAAACAGCCTCCCAAGAACTTCACACGGCATTCAAAACGTTCGTTTCTACAGAATCACAAAGAGGTCTCCTCTGTACAATTACTGGCGAAACTCTCACCCCGGCCGCTATTCTTGAGCCCTCCACTTCATCCTTCGACAATGATCTCAATCTCCTAGAACCTCATTTACAAGACAAAGCCGCCCTATACATAATACTCCGTCGTTATCCTTCTACAGACCCAGCTCCTTTCGTTGCCATAACCTATGTTCCTGATTCGGCGCCTGTGCGCCAGAAGATGCTATTCGCATCTACACGCCTTACTTTGGTTCGAGAACTTGGAATCGAACGATTTCGAGAAACCATATTTGCGACTATGAAGGAAGAGTTGACGCAAGAGGGTTTCGCTAAGCACGATCAGCATGTTAAATTAGCAGCGCCGCTGACAGAAGAGGAGCAAAGTTTGGGTGAGGTGAAGAGGAAGGAAGCAGAAGAGGGTAGAGGTATGAATGAGAGGAAGAGCCATGTCAGCAGTGGTATTAGTATGCCAGCTTCACCAGAGGCATTAGAGGCCTTAAAAGGACTCAATCAAGATGGGGCACACAATTTAGTTCAGCTTGTAAGCTTATTTGTTATCTGAATTTATAAGTATTTAATGGCTAACAAACTTTAGAAAATGAACATCGCGCAAGAAACCATGGAATTGGCTTTAAAGACACAAACCTCTATCTCAGATCTCAGCACCACTATATCAAACACCGAACCTCGATTCTCTTTCTATCGCTACACTCACGAACACAACGGAGCAACCTCTTCTCCAATACTGTTTATTTATACTTGCCCCTCCGGATCTAAGATAAAAGAACGAATGATATACGCATCATCATCTCGATCGGCTCAACAATTAGCTGAAGCAGAGGCCGGGCTCACCATTGAGAAAAGGCTTGAGGCTGGATCTCCTGAGGACATTTCTCAAGAAAGTATCGATTCGGATTTACATCCAAAATCAGAGGTAAAGAAATCATTCGCTAGACCTAAGAGACCTGGAAGAGCATAAATATTTAGGATAGACCTTCAATTCTGACGCATCATAATGGGAGGAAAATTCGCCTTTAATTGAATTTTTAATGGACGCTATGCTGGACTATGCCCCCCTACATTGAGAACGACATTTATACTAGATAAGAGTTCCTAGGATACCATATCATACAATGGGCATCATATATCCCCACACGTGGTTTCCATCTCATATTCTAAATATCTTACCCAAAAAGTCCTTGAACGCCATCTATCTATCAATATATCCATTCACTCCTCATACTTCCCTCCAAACATCGGCATATCACTATTTTCCAACTTCTCCTTCAAAAACTCATAAACGGTAAACGTAACCGCCTGACCAGGCGCAACCCGCATAATCCGCGGCGTAATCCCCTTGTAAAATGCATGAAATCCTTCCTGTCGGAACATATCCCCCGCAATCGATTTTATCCTACTCAAAGCCGTTTCTCCGGGCACGCCTGGTGTCTTCTGTAAACGTGTCTTGATGGTGTCGATGGGTGCGTTGGAGAGGGGACCCATGGCGCCGGATACGAGACCGATGATGGTGGTTTGATAGGAGGGGATGGGGGAGTCTGCGTATTGTGGTTGCCATTTTTGGAGGATTTCTTTGAATTCCGTGTAGGCTGTGAAGTTTACGGCTTGGTTGGAACCTAGACGTGGGGAGGGAAGAGTGTTAGTAGGGTGGTTTGGTAGGTGGTGGATGGTGGATGGTGGGGAGTGGTATGGAGATAAGGGAATTGTGAAAGGGTGAGGAGAGAAGTAGCATGCATACCTTGCCGTAAAGCAGTAAGTGATATTCCTCGATATAACGCGCCGATTCCTTCCTCTTTTACAACGGTGTATAATGCATGAGCCGCATTACGGTATTTGGGAATGTCGAGTGGATCGGCCATGCTGTGGTGTTGGGCTTGGAGACGGATTTTTATTACTTCCATAGGTGTTACGACGGCGACGGCTTCGGTTACACCTGCTGCTAGACCGGCTATAGGGAGTGTTATGTTAGCTTTTTGTTGTTTGACGTGTTATATTTCATTGTACGCTAGGAACTCTCAAATTTCCCAATTCTAGATCTTCAAAATAAGGGAATAACATGGGAAACGTACCCAAAAACGTAGCTCTTCCAGATACAATTCCCGTCTCCTTGTCGGCTAAAAATCTCTTGTATGCCTCGAAACTTGTAAATCTTATAGCCATCTTCGGTACAATACCAGTTATAACGGCACCAAGTCCTTTGTAGAGACCGAGGGGAGTTTCGCGCTTGATGATCTCGGCACCTGTGGTGATGAAACCGCGTTTGGGGGCGCCGGGAGCGCGAGCTCGTCGAGAGAGTTGCATGCGGACTTTTATAGTATCTATGAGGTGAATTAGTTGTTGGTTGAAAGTTTTGTGGTTTGGAAGGTGTTAATTGAAGGGGATCTGAGAGGAAGTGACGTACCTAAGGGATGGCATACGAGGGCCTCCATCATTCCCGCTGCTCCTCCAGCTGTAAGTTGTTAGACAATGTCCATTGCAAATTCTTGGCCATTGGGTTAGTGACTCACCAACAAGATTTGTAGCAGCTGAAGCTGGTTTCTTGCCATCTGTTCCTTTAACACTTTTCGCCGACATTTTGGGTATGTGTTACCTCCTCTCAGAGGATTTAAATGACTGTGGAAATTGGTCCCAATGAATTGCTCTGCTCGAGGCTAATATTTTGCAATATTGTTAGGTATTTGGATACAACAACTATGTGTAGCGGATTTCCTATGTCTCTAACATGTGAAGGTACACTTCTATATCTAGATGTTTGCCTATCCAACAGGTAGAGAGAAACAACAAAATAGAAATAAATTCCAAAGCACCTTGCTTTCACATCAAAAAGAAAGAGAATAATATAAAGTAAATAAAATGTGAATGTTGATTGCTCAATGGTGAATTTATGAGTCTATACCTTTCCGCTTGCGTTCGTTCAACTGGGCCGAGCTATCTTGTCCCGCGGCCCATCCCTCTCCCAAGTCATATTATACTACTACAGCCTTGCATGAATGGAGAAAAGAGAAGGGCGTTCCAATTGAAACTTGCGGAGCCCCGGACTCGGATGGAAGCTTGAGATGCTAAAGCTTGTGCTCGGTCTTGGATGTGCAAGTTGATGGCTCGGTTCAACGGATCTGGAATTTAGGGGACGCGGCGCAACGCATAGCTGGGCTTGGCCTGGTATGGAGGGGCAATTGCTGAAGTTTTGATGTGGAGTGTGGATGGATATTTGTGGACTTACTGTGGTTGAACTTACTGTTTGTATGAATTGCAAGTGGTTTCATTGTCGATGTGAGATCTTACCAAATGCAATTGAGACAAAGGATGAATGCGGTTGTATTTTCTGCCATTGTAAGAATTCTTTGCCAATCTTGGCTCAAAACTCCAAGCATTGATCACGAGCATCTGACATTGCTTATTCTCTGCATTGCGTTGTAATGCAGTACCGAGCCTTTTTCTAGATAAAAAAAATGATATCTCGAGATGCCCTGGTTATGTTACTCAAAGCTTGTGATAACGCGGGGTGGGCCAATATCAAATATCGGAGGTGGAATATCTCGGTTCAAGATGTAGTGCCGAGGTCCAGATTTGGCGCGAAGCAACACGTGACTGCTGAGAATCAGTCAATGTTCAAGTCGAATTGTCGGAAGATTGCTTCGATGTGAAAAGAATCCACTTATGGATGGATGGGATTGTATGATTCTTACGAAAACAATATGATTGTCTGAGTCATACATTGCTCTCATCGAGCTTAATAAGGGTTCTTTGTTTGTGCCGCCGATATTAAATCTTACATAGGTGGGTGTTCCCGTCAAAGTTTCTCCAGCAACACATAACAAATGCATACTAGGTAGATACTAGATATGTATCCGCGGGTATGTAAGATTTTATTTCTTAAAGATCAGTCAAACATCGAACAGATTAAATTTGCCATTGATATTTGGTATCTGGAAGTTTATATCTTCAATTTGTTCCTTGGCTTGTTAATGGCAATCCTACAAAATTACTGCAAACAGATGCACAGACTATCTCCAGACAGGAAGGTCACAAAAAAGACATTGATTACCTACTCCTTCCATTGCTCCTTCAAAGTTCAGGCAAACAACTTACCTAGAAATCTCCACAATATGCATGCATGTTGCACAACCAGCTTCAGCGAACCACAAGGTCGCAAATGGGTTTTGTATGCATTAATTGTATGATTGTACATGCATGTACGAGTAGTGCATTCCCATGTACAAATGAGGCGAATTTCAGCACGACAAGTGTTTCCTTATCCTCTGTGTTTTGTTTTATTTTATTCTCTTCTATCTTCAATCTTCAGATGTGATTTTGTGTTGAAAAAAATATAGCACGGCTTTGGCTGTCTATATTGTCGATATTTGTTTATTTCTTGGTTCCCTTGTGCAGTGTACAGTGTGTTTGCGACAAGATGTTAGAAGCAGACGTGGAGGACGAGGAGTTGAGGGTAGCGGATAGATTGGATGAATTGGATTATATCGATGAGGAATTTCTCGAGGATAGCGAGACTTCTTTGCTTCGAGAATCGAGTGAGACAGAAAAAGATGTGACAGAGGCTGCGACTTTATATTTAATATGTCTAGCCATCAGTACTGGAGGGTAAAATACACCGCCTTGGAAACATATCTTATCGTCCATTGCTTACATTCGATAGACTTCAAGTGATATGGACTGCCATTATGTCCCAAGGCTCTGTAAGGAAACTTTTTGCTCTTTCCATACCAATTATCATGCCTATAGCTAATTATCCAAGCCATACTTGGTTTCACTCTCAGTTCCCAGCTACCTCATCTCCTTAGTTTGGCTCGCTGGGCCCCTCTCCGGCGCCATTGTTCAACCATATATTGGCATCCTATCCGATCGTTGTCAACATCATCTTGGTCGCCGCCGCCCATTCATCATCATCGGCACTATTGCAACAATTATTTGCATCCTCGCACTTCCTTGGACTACCGATTTGATCACATACATGTTTACCCTGTTCGGCGGTTCCCCCTTCGGTCATGGTGCAATGATATGTAAAGGTTTCATGGCCGCTGCTTGCATATGGGCTTTGAATATTGCAATCCAACCTGTGCAAGGAGGACTTAGGGCAATCATCGTTGATTGTGTTCCGCCGAAACAGCAGGTCCGAGCATGTGCATATGCCAGTTCTGCTGCGGGGATAGGATCAATTTTAGGATATACCGCTGGTTATGTCTCTTTACCAAAGTATCTACCTTGGCTTGGGGATACGCAGCTAAAAGGACTTTGTCTGATTGCTTCCGTAGCATTGGGCTCAACTGTTGCGATAACTTGTTTCACTGCGAAGGAAAAACGTTTTGTCAATTTGGATGCAGGGTTCGAAAAACAGAATTTGGCAGGGACATTTCGTCAGATTTTGGGGAGTATGAAGACATGTCCGAGGGAAATTAGAAAGATCTGTATGGTTCAATTTTTTGCTTGGATTGGCTGGTTTCCATTTTTGTTTTATATTACCTCGTAAGTTTCAAATATGCCCATCTCGTGACTTTCGATTATATACTAATTAATCGAATCAGATATCTAGGCGGTCTTTGTAAGTTTTTCGCAACACCTAAAATGAATAAATAACTAACCTAACGCCATTCAGATGAAGTGGAATACAACCCAATATCCAAAAAAGCAACACCTACCCTCACATTCCCAACCACCCCACCTCTTCCACCGTCACCTCATTCAATCCGGCATGCGACATTTATTATGATTCTCTTCGCCGTTATCGCACTCATCTCGAACCTCACATTACCTCTGTTTATCTCCCCTTCCTCCAACAACTCTAAACACCAGAAACCAGCTTTTTTGGCCCGCCTCCATATTAGATCTCTGACCCTTCCCCGCGCCTGGACACTCTCTCATCTCCTCACCACCCTTCTAACCATCTCCACCCTAGTAGCTCAGACCTTCCTCTCCACCTCCATCCTCATCATTTTCCTCGGTATCTCCTGGGCTATCACTGCCTGGATTCCTTTAGCTCTCATCTCCACCCAAATCTCCCAATCTCAGATTCAATCTCAATCTCAATCTCGCTCCACTATCTCCACCTCCTCCATTCCCCTTTCCTCAATATCCCAACCCACCTCTCCTTCTCACAAAAGATACAAAACCCGAGGACCACTACAAGCAGGCACTATAATGGGCATCTACAACATTGCAATAGCTCTCCCACAAATTATCGCCGCTGTACAAGGAAGTCTTATCTTTTGGGTGTTGGGAGAAATCGGAATTGTGGGCACGGAAGCAATGGGTTGGATGATTAGGTTGGGATGTTTGGGAAGTATGTTCGCGGCTTGGTTGGCGGATGCTTTGTAATATTTGCGATTCGTGGGGATATTGACGGTTTCTGAGGGGTCGGGATTATACTGTATGTACTTGAATTTAGCGGTATACATCCTTGGAAATATTGTAACAGCTTGCAAGGGATAAGATTGGTATTTTTTTTTACAAATGATAAATGCATATTTCCAAGATTTCCTCGCCTTGATATCTATCACCTGGTCATCACACTAAGTAGTACTAACCCTCTCTCTCATACTCCATTTGTAATGTTTCCCAATATCTTCCTTTCTTGCGCCTCTAGCACGCTTTTCATAATCATGTAAATTATAGTTTAGATTATGATAGAATATATGAGTAGAAGAAAGTGGAAGAGAGTGGAAGAATAATATTTAGATCCATAGCATCAGGTTCGACTCCTAAATTCTGAATCCGGATAGATTACCTTTTGCACATTTCACATTATTTCAACATATTTTTCATATCTTTTCATATATTGAGGAGTCTTTGGGTAATCATTCTCTTCTTTTTTGAATCTTTTTGCCCGATATTCACGCGGTAAGGTAAAAAGAAAGAGAAGTGGGTGCGAAATTTTCTATTGGCTGCTTAGAAATGGAATCATTTGGGCTAGATTGGTTATCTAGAGGATCAGACATATTTAAGTGAAGTGCAAGCAAGTTCTAGCTCGGAGTTATTGAGATTCGTTGAAACTTGATTGGAGGTCGAAGGAACTTACTAGTTGTTCACATGATCTTCTATTTGTGTTTAAAAGTAACTTTTTAGGTGGTTTTATGGTCAGCTCCAACTTGACTATTGCTTCTAGATAGTCCTGGGTCCGGTTTTCAGAACGATATATTGATTGGTATCTTGAGTACCTGTTTAGATAAAGAACGTCTGTGAACCTATTAGCTTGCAGGGATGACACATTCTATCAAGATATGAGGCGAACTAGGTTGGAGACCGTTGAATTTCACTGTCAAAATTCACGTTGCCGTTCCTAGCGGCCGGTCCAAGAAAAACCTTTTCTCGAGATGAGATGCTCCAACTTTCAGAGACGTGTCTTTATCATTTTGTGCCAAGTCACCTCGTCAATCTTCACTGGTACATCTAGTAACTTCCAGTAGGTAAAATATTACTATTTTAAAATTATTTTCCAGGATTGGAAAGTTCTAGTTGTGCTGAATTTCTCAGTATCTAGAAGCACCTGGACAATTCTCCGGCTTCATGCTAAATAATATGTTCTAATACTATTGAACACCTAACTTTCAATAGCTTTTCGATTTTTTGACTCGTGATTCTCATGTTTCTCCTCGAGCGTTCTTTCCCGTAGCTCTTTGTCGGAATTGAATCTTCGTCGTCTAGATCTATTTGACTAGGGGCTCTAGCGAGCGATTAGCTTTTTGACTAGTAACAAGCGCGAAACTTATCTGGAACTATGGAGTAATCGAGTACTAACTGCTAAGTGCACGGACTTGTGGACAGATATGAATGACAGGTCATGATAGTAATATTACTAAATCACACATGTTCTAGACGTGCAAGTTTCTATCTGGACTGGTCACGAGTGGAATCTTAGATCACCACCGTAAGGACTCAATGGGTATTTAGTCTATGAAGTCTCCCTCTTCCTTCCAAATTAACCTACAGCTTCAACCTACAGCTTTACCATACTATTATTACCTTACCCATATTTACCTCACAATCACGCCTTACACAATCACAACACCTAACACCTACTACCAAGCTTTTAAGGTATGCATTCCCTTTTCCCCGTTTGAACTTATTTGTTTAGTTGTAAATGTGCCTTACTTTTGGTTTATTGTTTACTTTGTAATTGTAATTTACTTTCGATTTATTGTTTAGTTGTAATTTGTGCTTTGCTTCCAGTTTACTGTTTACTTTGTAATTGTGATTTAATTTCGATTTATTGTTAGTTGTGACTTAATTATTCATAATGTCCTGTTGTTCCAATCGAATCCGTACATTTTATCCACCTAAGTATCTAAACCATAAATCCAGATGTTCAACTTTACCGTCCATTTCAACCACGCTATCATCCGGGGTGATCGCATCCTTATCCGCGCCACCTACGGAAGCACCCCCTTCCACCTTGGCGATTTGGAGGGGCACAATGTCACCGGAAGAGTTGTACCAACTCCTTCAGGTGGCATTGAGCTCTTCACAGTAAGGCTCAACGGCCAAGTTGTGGCCTTTGAATTCGATTCCTTCAATGCGTTGGAATTCCACGAATTCATCTCCAGCCAACTTCCTCCAGCTCTTCGACCCGCCCCCTTGACTGGTCTTGAGGAGAGGATCGCACTTCTCCTCTCGCGCCACGCCAATTAGGGGGTGGAGAGCTGGAGGGAGGATTGGGGGAGGAGGGGTGGAGGGAACGGAGAGAGGGGATGGAGAGGGGGGGCAAGGATGGAGGATGGGGAGGGGAGGGCGAAGTGGGGGTCAAATTTGGGCCAGGGAGTTATGTACATAGCGATCACATGATTGATGGAGGTCGCTCGTACCAATTTTTTTTTTTCCAAATACTTTAGTCCTGATGCAATCTTGCTTCGTGAGTCGTGACATAAAACTTGTGTATAATTAAGGCTTAGAGACATTTTTGCCAGTAAAGTCGGGAAGCTTTTAACTGCTTTTGAATGTAAATGTGAGTCATGTGATGATTCTAATGAATGATCTAATAGCCTGAGTCACTTAGTCCAGCTAGTCTATGGCAGCATACGCCTTTAAGACTCTGAGCACTAAGTTATATGTTCCAAAAATACCATGAGTCAATCTCTGGGTATCTTAAGCAGTGTACATCATATATACGCCAACACCATAGGCTGTACCCATATTGCTCATATTTAAAAATGTCCAAAGATAGTTCAGGTTGAAACATACCGACATTCCTATGAACGAAAGAGGGCTCTCGATCTGCGCGCAACTATCTACTCGATGAGTAAACACACCACAGCCACGCTTCTATCTTCTTCGCCGATCCACTGCGAGACTAATCCGGCACTCACCAGGTACAAATTAAGAACTAATAATCGATGGAAGGAAATTTACACACAAAAAATGAAACGAATCGCAATGGTAATTGGCAAATCATTGCTGCCCTTTTAAGGGCTGGAGGAGATCATGGAGGAAGTGGTAATTGCAAGCGTAGAAGCTCTAGGACAGGCAGCCTGTAAGTAACATGCGAACACATCCTCATGCTTTTGCGCCTTTATTTAATCACCTCTCACTTTGATGATGGCGTGCATAGTGAATTAGCAAAGAGACGGAAATAATGAAATGCTGAACATACTTATCCATGTGAATGGCAGATAATCAAACTAAGCTGCTGATGGAGGAAGAGTTGCTGTGATCCATTGAAGCTACGCTACGGATGCATACAAATGAAATGCAATTCCTAGGGATGTGAAGACACGGATAGTGGTGTCCAAAGGTGCTGAAAATAATAGCAGTAGGTGAACTATTGCTGTCTTCACTTGCAAAGTATATACCTCGAGGTAATTTCAGTACAAGGCCGAGACTCGGTTGAGATAAATAATCATATATTGGGCTGTGTCTGGCCTGGAGGAAGTGGAGCAATACACTATTTGGGGAAATACAAGATATTTATACAAAAGCCACTGTATTTCAAATACTCAAAACCAGTAAGCTTCGCTTCCTTAGGATTGTTCATGTCGTTGAGGTTCGGTGCTTATTAAGCAGCACGGCCGATACGGCCGCATGGTCCGCATCAGCTTTAAGATCAGTTTATCAATTAAATCCTCACGAGTTCACCTTAATAATGCTCAACTATGCGACGTGTTGTAGTAACAGGCCTCGGAGCCATAACACCACTGGGCGTAGGGATCCGACCAACATGGAGTCGCCTTCTTGCAGGAAATAGTGGCATAGTTTCTCTTCCCTCGAATTATTTTGAAGCCTCACAGCGAGAAAGTCTACCTAGCACGGTAGCTGGTTTGGTACCGTGTGGCAACGAAGGGAAAGATTCATGGCGACCTTCGGATTGGTTAGAAAAAGGAGAAGACTCACGAATGGCCAAATTCTCGCAGTATGCGATTGCGGCTACAGAAATGGCACTTCAAGATGCCGGATGGAAACCGCAGAAACAGGAGGATAAAGAATCTACTGGCGTTTGCCTTGGTAGTGGCATTGGGGGTTTGGATGAGCTTTATACGACAAGCAAGAACTATTCCACAATGGTAATACTTCATCTAATTCATTTAAAATATTAATTGAATATCTGTTATAGGGCTACAAATCAGTGTCTCCCTTCTTCGTACCGAAACTTCTCATAAACCTAGCAGCAGGTCACATTTCAATGAAATATGGATTTGAAGGTCCAAATCATGCAGTTACCACCGCTTGCACAACTGGCGCACATTCAATTGGTGATGCATCTCGGTTTATTGCTTTCGGCGACGCAGATGTGATGATAGCTGGTGGTTCTGAGTCTTGCATACATCCGTTAGCTTTTGCCGGCTTTGCAAAAGCTCGTTCACTCGCTCGCCAATACAACGATGATCCCGAATCATCCTCTCGCCCTTTCGATCGAGATAGGTGTGGTTTTGTGATTTCAGAAGGAGCTGGGGTGGTTGTTTTAGAGGAGTTAGAACATGCTAAAGCTCGCGGAGCTGAAATATATGCCGAGGTCCGTGGATATGGCTGCAGTGGTGATGCACATCATATTACCGCTCCTAGAGAAGATGGAGCTGGCGCATTTTTAGCCATGAAAAGGGCTCTCAAGAATGCCAGGATTGCGCCACGGGAAGTCGATTACATTAATGCTCATGCTACAAGTACACCTCTAGGTGATGCTGCTGAAAATGCTGCCATCACCAGGTTGATGCTTGGAGAGGAAGGGGTTGGCTCCCCAGGTCAAATTGCAGTCAGCAGCACCAAGGGTGCTATTGGACATCTGCTAGGTGCTGCTGGTGCCGTAGAAGCTATCTTCTCAATCTTGGCAGTGAAAGAGGTACGAAATAATGTTCATATGTAATCTTCTGTTTACTGAATTCCTTCTAGAACATACTTCCACCCACACTCAACCTACATAATCCAGACGAAAACATGAATTGCAATTATGTCCCTTTCTCGGCACAAGGGAAAGAAGTTAGGGTTTCAGTGTCTAATAGCTTCGGCTTTGGTGGCACAAATGCCTCCCTCGCGTTTTCGAAATACGGTTGATGTGTGAAAACGTAGTGTGCTTTATTTTTCGTGCCTGGCCTCATACTACATACCCGAATCATAAACCTTTCTTTGTATAACCAGGTCCGGGGGTTGTTCCCAACTCCAAAAGTTATGAATTCGGGTGTGCCAATCAAAGCTTTATTTGGGCCTATGCCATAAGGTCTTAATTATTCAGGACCCAAATCACCTGCACATTTTATACTTCGTCGAATTGGTCAATGCAACGATACGAGACGATAGAAGTACTCAGCACTGCCAACCTCAAAATTAATAATATGGGCAGCCTTGAGTTGTCCTGGAAAATCGACATGCCTGTCCCGAGTAATAATGTACTGGGAAGAGTGCTTTGCGGATCGTTCTGGTGGAGTATTAATTTAGGTTCATGCCACAAAATAACGCAATCAACCAAACATTGTAAGGAATGCACAACCTTAAGTCTGGTGCTCGTAGAATTTTCAGTCCATATTGGCATTGGATGTGTGAAGTTTCATACTCCATGAAGTAGTACCCTTAACTTTCACAGGGCTTCCCTGTTGAGATGCTTTTTCCTCGATAACAGCATGATAATGCTTCCCAGAATCGATTCACATCTTCCTACTCTGGCGCTCCAACATATCGAGGTATTATTGAATCGTGCTTTGGGTAACCCTTCTTGGCTTTCAGCTATATCAGAGGACCCATAAGGTTACTTTTTTGTCTTAATTTTTGCTATGGCTGGACCTGCACTATCACCAACTACTTCATTATCAAGAATCAACTTTTGCTTACAGCCTCCGTACTGTAGGAAAAATCACTTGCACGGGTCTCAGGCCGTCAATTTTGAAACATGGTCGCGGAAACAAAAGTGGTCAGGCCAAGAATTTTTGTCAACATATTCCATTATCTTTGTATTGATTTTTCATGAAGTCTATCCTTGAATCCAGAGGAGCATGAATGGTTATCGAAATTCAACATCCCTCATAAACCGGCTCTTTCGAGGAAATGACAGTGTACTCTCTCCTTCTTTTCTTGTTGGCTACGATTATTTGCCTGCCTTGCTGAAGATTATATATAATGTGCAGGCGAGGAGTCAATGGCGAAAGTAAACTTCTGAGGTAAAATTCATATTTTATCACGTCGATTAGATGTTTAGCGTGTTTAAAATCAGAGTGGGAGTAATATGTCATACTTACTTTCGTTGTACAATTATGTTAAACCACCCGCCCTGGGAAGTCATGAAGAAAATGAGATTTTTGTGCAGTCATTTGACCCACCAGATATTTTCCGAGTTAAACACATGAGAGTGTCAATCCCGTTGCGAGACTCACGAACTCGGTAGAAATTCAGCAGTTACGAGGATAATGAAGTGTCTGTACTGATCCTTTTAGGAAGTCTCGTCGATCTCTACAATCGTGCATTTACTTCCGTACTGCATCAAACCCACGTTTCATTTACAACATACATGAAAATCTCATCTCATGATCAAAAGTGCACCATTTCTTGTCCTTTAAGGCGTTTTCTTCAAGAAATTCCAGACATTGACAGGGTTTCATGTTAATGCGATTATCTTTCTATATATTGTACAAGTAGGCTGTCCGGAAATAATTCGCCTCACGGATTATCCATTACGATTTTGGATATTCCGCTCCGTAAACGGATATCCGTGTATAATCTGTGGGTACCCATGGCCATGGGTTGAGGATTTATCGGTAAAAATATAGGAATGCTGTAGCCTCAAAAATTTAAGCAAATATCCACTCCTCAAATAATTTACGGATGATCTGCAGATTACCTGTGAATTATCTACAAATTATCCATTTGGTAGATGTTCACAAATGATCTACAAACAATCTATTGATACTCTATTTAAATTTTCCAATAATCCGTTCTGCAAACGGATGATTTGTGGATTATCCTCAGAGCGATAATCCGCCCCGCAGGGCCCCATTGCGCAGCGTATACAGTGACAGTAACAGTACAAGCCATAACTACCTTACCAGGACTCTGCCTAGCACCGAGGAGATTCAGCTCCTCCATCTTTACTAGAAGGAGTGGACTGGATCCAACTGTAGCTCGTTTATTTTGTGAAAGGATGCAGGTAGGTACTAAACGGTACTAGTCCACAAGTTCTTAGGTACCCCGATCAGATGCTATAAGTCGGTGCTGTTATCCGTGAAGTGAAATTCATATTTAATGCAGTATATCTATATCATCACCAGATCCAACAAACAGTCTTCATAAATACTAGTCAAATTCTTCAATATGCTCTCCAATGCCATTATAGTGCTCCTAGGACTCACGATTCTTGATGGCGTGGGATGCCTACCCATTTTGGTGAGCCACCTTTCTCTTTTCTAGTATACAATTTTGTGCTACTGGGAGAAATGAGAACAAGCACTTGCTAATAGTGTCTGCATCATAGAATTCCATCGAATCAGGAAACACAATCACAATCAGCCTTCGAGATGGTGCGCCTCTCGATACATCCTCAGTTCTTGTTAATTCCCTTAAGGGTACTGTGGGTCCCGTTGTGATGGATAGACTTGACGACTTACCCCTCATTAAGAATAGACATGGAAACAATGGTCTCGGTAATCCAAGTTCTCCTGCGACTCTCGATGATGATGTTGAAGATACAACAATCGGGAAAAGAGACACGCCTAGTCTTATAGGAGCACGTGATAAAACATCTGCATCGCCGCTCGTCACACATTCGGAGGAGAGAGAATTTGAAGATCACATTCGAGCAGAAAATGCTTTTCCTCCTGCTACTCTCGAGGAACAAGACCCTGAAATTACAGGTGATTTGTCGAGCCTAATAGTAGCTCCACTACAGGTTGTTGATTCCATCACGAGAAGGTCAGAAATACTTAATCCTTCAGAACTTTTAAATGGCGTCATTCCATACGTTCAAGGCATTACCGATACCACAGAAACGGAAGTTGCTGAGATACTCGCAGCGGCTCGAGAGATAATTGGTTCAGTTGGGGATGTCTAATGATTTCATGTTTTGGAGAGAATGTGGTGGTGAGAAGGGGGGCAAAATGGAAGTCTAGGAGGGATTAGAATGTTGTGGTATTTATTTTACGGAAGAATATTAGAGGATATTCTGGGACTGAAGGCTTTTTTTTTAGAAACCACTTGCTGAAGGAAAGGAGAACACAGACTGCACTTAAGGATAATTACTCTGGGGTAAGCATTGATAGGCCTGGGCAATACAAAGTGTCGGTTTTGATATGCACATATATGGATAACCTTGAGATTCTGGACTCATAATATACCCGTGCGGCTGTGAAGCTGGCCTTTACTGGAATTAGCTCTTCTATTCACTGGGTCCAAACTCTCACTTAGCCATTACATAAGAAGATCAATCTTCAGGTCTCCGCAAACAGAGTATACAATTCTTATCAATGAATCAAATGTCAATGCATCGTTCCGTATCATGAAAAACTAAGAATACTACTTTACCCCTCTTCTCGCGCCATGCATGAAGTGCGCTAACTAGTGTAGTATTCTCACTAATTTTCTGTGATCATCATCATAATTGCGCGGAGAAAAAAAGGTCAGCGGTCTGGTTATAAGCCTAGTTCAATCATGGCTTTTAAAAAGAAATTGGATTTTGTTCTATACAGTTCATGTTATACGCTATGGATTAAAGAGTCTCTCACGTGAATCGAAATTGATGCCAAATAATCATTGCATTCCGTTCTCCAGCGTAAAAGCTGGTGGTTCTAGGACTTTAAGACATTTCTGTCGCCTCTTGCTCTCTCCTATGCAGAATCTCCAATGAAACGGATACCTCGTATTAGTTTGTTGGCTTAAGCTTGTGGGTTTATAGTTCGTAAGTTTAGATTGTGAATTTTGGTAAATTGTGAGCTTAAATTTTAGGTTTTGATACATTGTAGAATTCATACACTGGAAATTTAAATAAATTTTGCGACCTAGGCTGCGAGCCTTACTTATGGGGAGGAAGAAATGCTGAAAAAATGTTATGGGTTCGAAAGAAGAAGTCCTTGAGGAACTAAGGCGGCTGGTCTTTAGATCCTAGTGCAGTACTCTTAGAATGCTTTCGACGAAATCAAGTACGAGAGTAATATGGTAAGCGTAGTGTAGCCGTAAAATCAAACATTATGTATGGTAAAGTTATTATGATCTCAGAGTTAAGTTTTCTCAAAAAGTACTAGCCCCGTCAAATCAGCTCGCTAACCCGAATATGAAGTCGCAAACTCAAAATTTAGGTGGCTGTCAATATCAAGCCTCAACTGAATTCCAATGCACGGATACTTGTTAAAGTGTAAATTTGTAGCCAATAGTAATCATAAACTATCACTCCAGATGCTCCGACAATTGTCACCCATGTGATCACTTTAAGTCGAGTCTACCACCACGTTTTCAGCATTCACCCTCTCTATTCATCGTACAAATTCATTACAATGCAACGAGGAAAGAGAATAGTCTCAGAGACTGGAACTTCTTTTGATTATTGAGTCTGCACTTAGTCTCTGCAGTCATACTTCTTTATAATCCTCTCCACGCATAGCTGTTCCTAGTGAGGCTCACGTTAATAACATCCGTAACACTTATCAGTAATTAGAAATGGCCAGATAAAATTTCACCCCGTGGCCTTCTAATTTTAATTATCTATAAATTTTAATCAAACCTGTCAAGCACTTTTGTTGCATGTGTACAGTCTTATTTTACAATGTGCATCCCAATAAGTACTTGAGCACTAATGTAGTATCAAATGGTTTCGATAGCTCCTTCTCCCTGCAGCTTTTCCTGTATTGTTTTGGTTCAAGATGATTGGACAGATCTCAAGCCAACCCGCAAAGTTCTCGCTAGCATCACTAGTACTCCGGATGAAGTCTAAATACTTTCCTCAAGGTCTTTTGTTGCATGTCTACTATCTCATATACACCGTGCATCCCAGCAAGCATTCGAACGCTTATCTACTAGTATCTTAATAGTTTCGATAAGTCATTTACTCCCTGTAACTCCCTGTACATTATTCCAATCCGAGATGATCGAATAAAGCTCAAGCTAACCCTTAGAGCTCTTCTTAGTGTCGCCATTATTCCGAATAGAGCCTAATTACAGTCCTCAAGCTGTTTTGTTGCATCTCTTAAATTCCCTGTTGCGAGGCTCATCCTGACAAATGCACAGGTTAGGTCCATAGTAGCATGTCATGACTCCCTCAAATCGTCACGGTTAGGATAATTAGCCGAAGAAGCCAGCACAAACACTAAAAAGTTCGCTTAACTTCATCATCCACCCCAAATCAAATCTTAACGACTTCTCTGACACAGGTTTGTTGCATATCTAAAATAAATACACGGACCATAACCACAAATTATAAGTTTCCGAGCGAAAAAATACGATACATACCTCCCCCTACTGTTCCACACCTTGTTGATCACCCTTTATTTTCGAATGCATTCCAATCTGTTGCCCAAAAGTGACGCCACTCTTGAGGAGTGGTTAATTGGGTTCATATAATCATTCTTCAGGTCAACACTCCCCCTCAGGGATTGCCGAATCAGGATATGCCATTATTTTTGAGGCTATTCCTGGATATGATTGGCTGATCCGATCTGAGTTGATTGGCCGGATAACATAGTCCTCTGCCTTTTACTGTCTAACATTTTTTCTAGACTCTGGGGCATGTATGCAAGAGTAGGGTTCTGAGAGCATCTGATTGGCTCTACCCCTCTTCAGAGGCTTGTTCCGTCGAGGTGCATGGGGATCGCTCGCTTGGAGTTTAGGAGTAACTCTCATTGGATGCGATATAATCGATAATGTAACTTTTTACTGAAGAATATGATGATTGCAAGTTGCGCTGGTAGTGGAAATTATAAATGATACCACTGGACCATGGGACCGCAAACCGGGCTCATAACTGTTGCCCAAAAGTGACGCCACCCTTGAGGAGTGGTTAATTGGGTTCATATAATCATTCTTCAGGTCAACACAATCACTGTTCCAGAACACATTCAAAACTTTGTTGCACATCTAGACTTCCAAATTGCAAGGGTACTCCTAACAAGTTCTAAAATGGTGCCTAATGATAGAATAAACTATTTCAGATGCTGTACCTAAGTACCAGTTATGTGCCAATTAAGTGCCAGCCAGATACCAATACGGGAGCACTTACCAATAATATACTCCAATCGCAGCCTTCAGAGCTATTCTAGACAGCTTTGTTGCACATCCAATTTTCTGACAGCAGGATGCATCCTAGGAAGTGTTTGGGTAGCATCGGATAGGAACATGGTCGGTAGAATCTATAGTTGCAAGCACTGAACTCGAGCCAATCGATTCATTTTGATACTATAAATGAAGATGAAGATTAATTCGTTACACATCTACCTTCTCCAAACAACGTGGTGCATCCCAACAAGTGTTCAAATAGTATTGGGGAAATTTTATACCGTAGATCCATAGCTACAATTACTAAATCTAACCAGCAACCTATCACGGGCAGTTACACACTTGCTAAAATAAGATACTGCAACTGCAGTTTAGCAATTGTTTTGTTGCACATCTACTTTTCAAATAGCAAGGTGTATCCAGGCAAGTATTCAAATGGTATTGGAAGAGATTTGTCCGGTACAACCTATCACTACTATTATTAAGTTAGTTCCACACTTTCTTAAATAAGATACTACCATTGCAGATCAAAAATTGCTTTGTTGCATATCTATAAATATTATAACATGGCTCATCCTAACAAGTATTCAAATAGTATTCATTAGCCTAACAACTACTTAATGCGTATCGATGAAGTATAAGCCATTGAAAGCCATATACACTGACCACATCTCTTTAAAAGACTTTTTGCATATCTGCGGTTACATTTTACAAGGCTCATCCTGTCAAGCGTACTCAAAAGCTCAAATACAAAGAAATCGTCCATGTAATAGCTCTGGCACTACTTCATTCGCTGGTTGCCGGACCCCTTCTACTTTAGATTATCAAATAGTTTGGTATACATGATGTATTAGCTGATTGGGCTATATATTCAAGTTCTAATTCATGGAAGAGATAGGTTAGATCTCCGTTAATATTGGAAACCCGGACCAGGACTGGATTTAAGTCTCGTTTTCTAGCCTAGATTATCGAGCCCGTTTTTCTTTTCGAGACAATAGATCTTCGGCTTTTCGGTTTGATTAATCAATTATTTTCATATAATACATCTTATGATCATTTTATCATATAATAGTCATACAGTATATCCATTTGTATGCTATAATAAATATACTTCATCTATCTCAAAAACTTAGATGGTTACCCAAACTTTTGAAATCTAGATTTATTAGTTTAAAATTTTTGCTCAATTTATTTCAGAAAATACTATATATTTTGAAAGAGATCTATGTATTAGTCATTAAAATACCCCCGGACATTAGATGATAAAGTTATTGAACACACTACCTACTCCACCTTCTATCCAAGTCTCCTCAAGAACCTGGCAGCCACGAACATTACACAGTTCTGTTGCATATCTACTTTTTCACATTGCAGGGTTGAACCCAACAAGTCTTTATATGTAGTATTCAACTTCCACGATCGCCTGTACTATCATAGTACTACACCGTTCAAATTTAAACCTCTCCATTTTATATCAAATTCAAACTCTCTTCAAGGATACCCAATCACGTCTCCTAGGAATCTTTTGTTGTATATCTGCATTTCTACATTGCAAGGTTCAACCCAAATAATCTTTGTACATAGTATTCAGCTTTGACGATCGCTTATATTGTAATGCAATAATATTCAAACTTCGACCTTATCATTTTATGTTCAATCCATACTTTCTTCAAGAGTATCTAGTTATGCAATCTAAGACTTGATGTTGCACATCTACATCTCCATATTGCAAGGCTCACCCCAACAAGTGTTTACGTATAATATTTGGCTTCCAGTCATCTCCATTACAACACCATACTAAACAAACCTAGCCTAGACCTCCTACTTTTACATCCACACCGAATTTTCTTCAGTGGTGTCCATTTACACTTTCTAGGAACTTTTTTTGCAGATCTGCAGCTTCATATTACAATAGTCATCCCAACAAGCCTCCATGCACTTATTGATAGTTACACTCTCCCTGTGCGCATGGAAAATTTATCACACATTATTGAATGACTTGCTATCATCTTCTTTTAGATTGAAAGTGGAGTGTGACACACTTTCCGCCGCCTAAGTGGCACTTTCGATCACTACAATACACTTCTCAAACCAATAAATTCCTATTATCCATCTGAGCTCAATCCTGTCTAACAGTATCCAATCACGCAATCTAAGACATAATGTTGCACATCTACATTTGCAAGGCTGGCCGCAATAGCCTTCACACATTATCAATCATTGCCCTTTAGTTCTTTTGATGCTAGACTATACCACAGACCAACGAAAAATTAATCTCTCCCTATGCCCGGATATTTTCAAGCATACCCAATCACATCCCCTAAAGCTTAATGTTGCACATCTACATTTCCATTTTACAAGGCTCACCCCAACAGCCTTCACATACCATCGATCATCGTCCTTGAGCTCTTCCTATATTTGACTATACGAGTCAAACCAATCGATCATTGCTTTCTCCCTAGACCTGATTACCTTCAAACGTACCCAATCACGCAACCTAAGACTTTGATGTTGCATATCTACATTTCCATATACATGCCTTACCCCAACAAGTCTTCATGTAATATCGATCGTTGCCCTTTAGCCCTTTTGTTGACCTCCTGGGATCTTGGCAGCATATGCATATATAGTACATATGCATATAAGGAGCAAACAAAACTCAACTTTTAATTCATTCTTTCCTTTTTGGTATACTGTTTGTTTGCTTTCAATATTTTGATTTCAAAGCACTTTAATTCCGAAGGCCGAATACCCAACCTATTCCTTCATTTTTTGAATATATACTCGCAGCTTAACTGCTCAGCTAGAAAATCAGTCAATTCAATCTGATGCTCTTTCTAGTCTCAAGAAACCCAACACCTTTCCATACTTGGCTATACGATTTATACCAATTAAAAACTACTTCCTCCCTAAACTCGATTATCTTCAAGCATACCCAATCAAATCCCTCAAACAATTCTGTTGCACATCTAAAATCCCATATTACAGCATATATCCCAACAAGCCTACTTCTTCTACTTACTATCCTTCCAATCCCTTATCACCTTTAGATCGAACCCTCGAATAGGACTTTCGGGGACCCCGCTGTTAGGCTTAACATGGCAAGTACGATTATAGGTCTATATAATAAAAAATCCTAGCTCCAATAATAGGACAAGCCTCTTTACACTTACAAGAACAACCCATCAATCATACTTTCAGAAATTATATCATATTACACTTAAATATAAACCACTATTCATCTATCATTCACCATCTTGTAGTAGTATATGTTTAAGAGTGGAGTATGATGCACTTCCTGACCACACAAATATAGCAAAATACTTCAAGTCCGCGTTTCTAAGCTTTCCTACGTTAACAGAAAGAAAATATTCCTAATCAGTTATATCCCAGAAGACTTTCCTTCTAACCTTTACTAAAGTCTAAAACTAGTCTTACTTCTAAAACTACCTCGCTTAAAAAGCATGTGCTAAGGAACATCTCTTTCAAAATCACAAAATATTCATCCTAATTCCTATTTATACTTCCGCTACTATAAGACTTTAGCGAACCGTTAAAACTAATATCAAACTTAAAATCTCCACGAATAAGTAAACCCAATCAAGTATCCCAGATAATTGTTGTTGCATATCTATATTTTTTAAGATTATTACAGGGTGCACCCTCGCAACGAAACTTCAGCTGCAGGTAATTGAAGTACTTGAGTGCTCAAGTAGTGTTATTAGTTTTATCAATTGAGTATTCCACTTCAAATATTTCTCAACAAGCAAGCCATTTTTAAGTTTATCCATCTTCTCATTTCACTCATCGTTCATATTTCTTATAAATTATACCAGATCCAACCTCGCCCGATGTAACAAATGCTATTATATTCGGAATATATAATTATAGGTTCATAACGATAATAATATATCAACCATCTTCACACCTGACACAAGATACGAAATAGACTCTCAGGCTTTCCTAGCTCCAAGTCATTCAAATTCTACACTACCCTACTCAAATTCAACCTACCAATATCAAAACTAGAGATATACACCTCGATAATCAATATATCTTAAACTCCACTCCACTGGTGCTCTTACAATTCAAAATTTCTCCTTCGTTAATTATTCCTCAGATCTGCTATGTATTTCCAATAGATGCTCAATTATGAATATACTCTATAGATGAGGACTAACTCTAGTGTACATACTTTTACAATTTCATAGTTTAAGCCTGTAATTAAAATATATTTCTGAAAGTTTCCGACGAATGGAAGGCCAGGTGAGGTTATAATATTCTGAGTTTCCCATGAGATCCATGCCAACGAATCAAAGGCCTAATAAAGCTATAGTACTTTAATTGCAATTTATATATGATTTGGAAACTACTAGTTTTAGAATTCGGGGCTGGCCTTATTTATTTATTTAGATCAAGTTATTACAGATGGGGAGGGATTATATTGAATTTAAATATAAATATAATAATCAAAAAATTAACTCCTCAAGTGTTACGAGGTTTGCCGTCTAGATCACGTGGAAGTGCTCTAGGCTCTCGAAGTGGTTTATAACTAGGCGTCAAGCAGGGACTTAAGTAATGACAATAATGATATGCAATTCGTAACTAATAGTAGAGTATACTAAATGATTGATCTTGAGCACGAAGCTCTACAATAAAGAAATTCATACTGAATATATCGATCTTCATGCTCCCTTGGATCCTTTTGGATCCTCAAGCTCCAAAAGCTCCAAGTCACGTGTTTTCTGACGGTGCGTGCGCATACGATCCCAAAGTGACCCAGATCACATATTAATTCGGGACAGCCATATAAATCTACTCAACAAAGTGATCCTCACTTGTGCAAAAGCAATTCTCCCGGTATACAAAACCACGAACACAGCGGTGCTATACGAGGAAGCCAAACTCAGGCCCTCCGAAATCGAGCTAAACTTAGCCTCACAAACATATGCTGTGCGAACCTTCAGACTAGACCCTTACCACCCCCTCAGAATTAGAGCGAAGAGCATGATCAAAGCCAAAGACCAGAACCGAACTGTAGATACAAGACTTTCAAGTTTCATCACAGCATTACCAAAAGCCGAATATATAAATCCATTAGCTTTCCCTTCATGGGAACACAAGGAATCGAGAGCAGAAGCCGAGGTACGTGTAGCTGGCCCGATGGGCAGAACAAAGGCCCAAGCAGCTGACGACTTCAAGGCCTTCCATCCTAAGATCCCAAGGAGTGATATACAGATCTTCTCGGATGGTTCAAAAAGCGAAAGCAAGGACGGCGCCACCGGAGGTGGCTTTGTAATCACACAATTTGATATCCAAGTGGCCCATTACTCCTTCTCACTTGGCACAAATGCAGAGGTATTCGACGCGGAAGCTATGGCTGCAGTAACGGGGGCAGCAAAGGCCCTAGCGCTTCCATCAATCAAACTTGCTACAGACCTATGGATCTTCTTGGATAACTACGAAGTAGCCCTAAGATTAGGCTCCCACTTCAATGGCTCGTCTCAGGCGGTCTTCGAAGATTTCCTGAAGCTCACACAGGCCTGGGCCGCTAGACCGAGGCTCCCACATATCCCCCCTGGTAAAATACGCATACACTGGGTCCCAGGGCATCTCAACATTCCAGGCAACGAAATGCCCGACAAAGCAGCCAAGGAAGGGGCAAAACTCCCCCCCCCCCCCCAACCCGGCCTGCACGTTAGCCTCCCTCAAAAGACTAATCAGATCAAAGACCAATAAAGCGGATAACCAATTGTGGAACACAGTCAGCCCTCAGTATTACAAAGATCTGCAATATAAGCACACTTCCAATACAATTACTCTCTCCTTAAAAAGAGCTACACTTCACTACATTCTTGCAGCCAGATCACAGCATGGTGACTTTGCGGCATATCACGAACGCTTCAACCACACTACAGCTCACACTCTCTGCTCATGCGGTAAAAGGAAAACCCCGTTACACTTCTTCTTCTGCAAGAAAGGCAAAGCTTACAAAACACTTACGAAAAGCCCACCATCTGAAGCCATCCCCTGGCTTCTAGGCATCCCCACAGGTGGTCTCGCACTAGCCAAATGGCTTGAATCCACCAAATTCTACACAGATATCTGCCCACAGCTTGTATCTGCAGCTTAAAAAAAAAAAAAAACAAAGCCTCTCCTTCGTTTTCCCTCTACTTCCTGTATCTCCTTTTTCAAACAGGTACTCAAAGGGCTTATTCTCTCTCCCCCTCTTCTCCTTCCTTCTCTTTACATCTCTATTCTTCTCTTCTCTTTTTCTCTTCGTTCCTCCCCTTTCTTTAAAAAGGGAAAAAAAAACAAAAAAAAAAAAACAGTAAATACACAAGATAATTCAACAAAAACGTATGAGGGGAAGGGAGAGTGATCAAGAGCCAGTGATCTAGTGGACGAGGAGGACCACAATATTAACCACTAAGCCAACCGGCCCCAAATCTGTCGC